CAGTGTGCACTGTACCCACTAGTGTGAATTCACCCCTCCCCTCCTGTCCCCTCCCAGACAGTGTACACTGCACCCGGTAGGTGTGAATTCACCCCACCCCCATCCCCTCCCACCTGCTTCCTTTCCCCTGAGTTTTACTACCAATGGTGGCATGGATATTGATCAATTAGATTCAATTTAAGAGTGAGTCATGCAGTGTTTGCTTTTTAGTCATGGATTCTATCTTCAAAATCCCCGATATCTTCCCAGATTTAAATATGTGGGTCACACTGGACAGCAAATACCTGGCCAACAGTAGGAACTGACCACCAATTACAGGAGACACAGCAAACATCTGGCTCCTCTTTCTGGAATTCTGAGCACAGCCAAGAAAATGCAACCAGTGGGTACAACCACTGCTACTAGGACAGGTACTTGCAAAAGCACGGTGGGGTGCACTGGACAGCAGCAGCCCTCAGAGCCACCAGCCCATAGCTGATGGCAGCAGTTCAGATTATGCTAAACTGTACCCGGAGCTTAGTTTTAAAGAATTCCTAGAGGTTTGCTGCCAGTTGGGAGTAGCTTGACTAGATAGAAGGACATGTCACCATTCTCCACCTAGAGTACAACATGTGGAAACCTGGGCCTCAAGGTCACGCATGGCCCTCCAGATCCCCAAGTGAAGCCCCTCCACCAAATACAAATTTCACAGAATGAATCCCTTTACTAGAAACCTTTGCTCTGCAAACTTTGGATTCAGTCAAAAGGCCACACTCAAGGATCCACAGAGTCACAGTTGCCCCCAAGGCCACAACTCCCCACCCCAGCGAGAGGTTCAACACTGAGCCTTCAGATTTTGGGTTTGGCTATTGTTCTCTGTACCAGGGGTTCCAACCTTTTTTCTGCTGCACACTGGAAGAATAGGAGCTATCTTGGGACACACATTAAATAAACAATAACAAAAGCTGATGAGCAAAAGAAAAGGCCCAGACATACTTTCTGACATCACAGATAAGTGAAACAGTCCTCAAATAATGTGTGCGTGGCCCACAGGCCACAGGTTGGACAACCCTGGTAGATATTTCATTGCACCAATCTCCTGCTAACAGAACTACCTGGAGACATTTATCTCCATTTGAGGTTCAGGCTCACATGTACCAGGGAAGCCAACAAGGCAAAGGTTTCAAAGGCACCAAGTCATCACTACCTCCACTGTCCTTGTTTGCAGTTCTCTGAAGAGTGTCCAGGTGCTGAGACAGTTCAGGGAGCTTCATCCTCAGGAGGTCTCTGAACACCGCCATGTCCACAGATAAGGCCCGGAGATTATTGACAAAATAACTTTCAGGAAGTACTTTATCAATAAGGTAAATCATGACCTGCAGAAAAGATAAGAACAACACTGGCGTGTGAAAGCCAGGACCAGAGCATGTCCTAACAACTAACATGCCCATATATGCTGCTACGTGCAGGCTGCCTGCACCAGAAGTTCTCAATGCTCAGGGCTCACCTGCCCAGTGGGTAAGAAGCAGTAGTGATAATTACTTAAGTAACTGTAACCCTGAGCTGGCTGCTGTGCGTAATTTCTAGAAGGCCCAAAACCTCAGTTCACCCAATAGTAGCCGTGATCACATACCCCTGAACCCATCCATCCTCAGAAAAATCACCCCAAAAACCCTCTTATTGATAAACACCACTCAACTCCAACCCTCACCCTGAGACTGATCCTGAGACACATCACACGGTCCTGAAACTGATCCTAAGACACATCACATGGTCCTGAGACTGATCCTGACACACATCACACAGCCCTGAGACTGATCCTGAGACACATCATCCAGCCCTGAGACTGATCCTGAGACACATCACACGGTCCTGAGACTGATCCTGAGACACATTACATGGTCCTGAGACTGATCCTGAGACACATCACAGAGTCCAGAGACTGATCCTGACACACCACAGGGTCCTGAGACTGATCCTGAGACACATCACAGAGTCCAGAGACTGATCCTGACACACCACACGGTCCTGAGACTGATCCTGACACATCACATGGTCCTGAGACTCATCCTGAGACACATCACATGGCCCTGACACTGATCCTGAGACACATTACACGGTCCTGAGACTGATCCTGAGACACACCACACAGTCCTGAGACTGATCCTGAGACACATCACACGGTCCTGAGACT